AACTCTCTATCCCTCTCTCTTCCTCTCTGTAAAAAAATCAATAAAATATATATATATTTTTAAAAAGATTCATTTGCAAGGTAGGTTTTGAAGATTTGGAATTTGCCTCAGATTTCTCTTCCAAGCTCCTCTTCAAATAGATATTCCCCAATTCAAAAGAGACCATGATAATTTTAGATGTTTATCTTCAAAGATTGAATCCACTGCTTTTTCTTAGTTTTACAAGAACACATCTTCACGATAAGCCACTATTAGGCTGAATAGGTTCTGCCACTCCTACAAATCTGAGTCTGGTAATGACTAACATTGAACTCAATAATAAGTGAGGATAATTTCAGAATGCTTGGCTTTGTTTTAAAGGGCAAGATTCTGGAAGCAGGCTCCAGGCCTCCATCCAGATCCGCTTCCCTGGCACATAACCAGGGGGCGATGCCCAAGCTCTAGGTGCAAGGACAGAGCACCCTCACTTCCCATGTGCCTGGCACTGGGGCAGAGGGCGCTAGGACTCCAGAAGCCAGAGCCCCACAGCACAACGGCCTCTGGATGCCCCTGTGTGTCCTGGGAGGGAGAGGTAGCTCCTTTCCAACGCAGGCTGGGGTTGGGGAGCAGGAAGGAGTCCGGGAACCAGAGGCGGCTGTGGCTCCCTGCCCTTCCCTGTCCCCCCCCTTGTCCTCGTCAGGCCTGCTGGCCATTCTGCTCCCTACAGATCCATCCAGAATTCCGAAAGAGGAATACGGGACGCTGCCAGGCTCATTTCTCACCCTGTATCCACCTTGGTCATGAGACCGGATTTCTGAATCAGTTACACATCTGGGTCGTGAGTCTGCCTGGCTCTTCCATGTTTTTGGGGAGATAAAGCCAATCTCTGGCTTGGTAACTGCTTTCTAATCATTCATCTCTCTCCGTTTGATGTTTTGCTCTGGAAATTCGGGGTGTAGTAAAAGTGTCTGGACCTGTATTTATGTTAGCATTTAAAAAATATAACTGATTTTTGGCAAAGGGAAAAAAATGATTGGAGGGGGAGGGGGACAACATTAAGACAAAGATAAAAGCGTTTCTAGTTCATTCTCCTCATTAAACGCAGCTCTTATGTGCTAGATGCATGATGCTATTAACATATCAAGGGCCTATGGTATCAGGCAGTATTCTACAGCTGAGCATAGTTTTATCATTTACTCCTCACAGAAATCCTAGCAGATGAGATCTGCTTTGACCCCCGACCCCCACATTTTACAGATGAGGAAACTGAGGCACAAGAAGTTACTTTCCCAAAGGTACACAGCAAGTAAACAGTGGGGCCCAGATGCTAATCCAAGCATTTTGACTCCAAAGCACGTGCCCACCCATATCCTGCACATCCCGGGTGGAGAAAGATAGTAAGGAGAAGCAAAGCCAACTAAGTCATTTAGAAACTGTTCCAGGGAATATATGGACTTAATTTAAAATGTGTGAATTCTTTCTAATAGTGGGAAGAATGATGAACATCTGACGCCTTCTCAGTTATAAATCTATTCGTATCGAGCACGGATTGTTCCTCTACTGTAAACAGCCGTTTTAGGGGTCCTAGATGGCAGTTCACATAAAAGGAAAATCTTTTTTTATGACGTGGCTCATCATTGCATACATACATTTGCATGGAAGTCACATTCCCCAGATACAATATTTTTTAAAATGTAATTTAATTTTTTCCATCACCATTTATCTCCTCTTACACCTCCTACCCCACAATCACCTCACTGTTGTCCATGTCTGTGAGTTTCTCTCTTTTTTTTTTCTTTCTTTTTTGCTCAACCTCTCCATCACCACTCCCAAGAACCCCCTCCTCAACACATATACCAGGTCTGTCTGCCTGTTTTCTATTTATGAGTCTATTTTGCTTGATAGTTCAGTTGGTTCATTAAATTCCACATACGAATGAAATCATATGATTCTTGTCTTTCTCTGCCTGGTTTAGTTCACTTAGCGTAATGTTCTCCAGGTCCATCCATGCTGTCCCAAAGGGTAAGCTTTTCTTCCTTTTTACAGCAGAGTAGTATGCCATTGTGCAAATGTACCACAGCTTTCTTAGCCACTCATCTCCTGATGGACACTTGGGCTGCTTCCAAATCTTGGCTGTCGTAAATAACGCTGCAGTGAACATAGGGGTACACACATTCTTTTGAATTCGTGTTTCAGGTTTCTTCAGATAAATCTCCAGAAGATGAATCGCTAGGTCATAAAGCAGTTCTATCTTTAATCTTTTGAGGTGACTGTGCAGTTTTCCACAGCGGCTACATCATGCTGCATTCCCACCAGCAGTGCACAAAGTTCTCTTTTCTCCACATCCTCGCCAACACTTGTTGTCCTAGCTACATTATTTTATTTGGTAGAGGTCTGGCATTAAACCATCTGGAAGGCTAACCTATGAGGCAAATGTTGCAAAGGGATTTAACTGTGTTTGATGCTTCAGTTTTGCAAGAATTCGAGGTCTGACATGGGAAGAAGTTTTGGTGACTCTCTGCCAACTTTGGATTTACCCCAAAATGCTTTAGGAAAATAATTTCTCTACAGAGGCAAAGAAAAGCAGGAAACCATAAATATACCTGGCGAATTAGATCAATGTGTCCAGATAATCCAGGGCCCAAATCCTTTATTTTCTATAATAGGGCATTTATCTGAATTTTCTGAGTAGTCCCCATCAGTCAATTCTCCTGTTCCTAAAGAGACAGCTTAAATTCCTGCCATGTCTCTGGGCTCCCATTTTGCTCTGCTAATTAAGGAACTCTGAGGGGCTCCTTAAGGGGTGAGTCTACACTTGTAAATAGAACAGATCTTAACACACCAAGGCTTTGCTTTCAGCCAACTTCATGACCAGCCTAGTTTGTTGCACAACAAATTTGGTTTCTATAGCAACTCTCATGTCACCAGGGCTGCTATGCCCACAGCCAGGCCATGGTCCAGCTCATGGTTGCATGGGTTTGGGACATAATCTACGACATAATATGATAATAAAGGTGGTAGTTTTTATTTTAATTTAAAAATATATTTGTATTGATTTCAGAGAGGAAAGGAGAGGGAAAGATAGAAACATCAATGATGGGAAAGAATCATCGATTGGCTGCCTCCTGCAGGCCCCACACCAGGGACCAAGCCCACAAGCCAGGCATGTGTCCTGACTAGGAATCGAACCATGACTATCTAGTTCATAGGTCGATGCTCAACCACTGAGCCAAACTGGCCTAGCAGGGTGGTAGTTTTTAACAGATTTTTATTATAAGTAACACCCCTCATTTGATGAAATTGATGTCTTTCTGCCAACTTGACTCTCTTGCCTAAACCTTGGTGCTTTGCACTCTAGCAGTTCTTCAAATTCAATGTTTTATAGAACGTAAAGTGAATTAACTCATCCTTTTTGTCAGTTTTGTAAGTTCCATATGGAGAATTTACATCTGTATTAATCAGACACGCTAAAATCACTGAGTGAGCCTGCACTGTTCATTTTAATAATATTTCTCAGAAGATGACAAAGCACACCACGCAGCAGCTACCCAGCTTTAGCAAGAAAAATAAAAAAAATTATATCAAGTGTATGGAGTTGTGTTATTTAAATTTAAATTTAAATTCAGCTGGGACCTGTTTGGCTCAGTGGATAGAGCATCAGCCTGTGGACTGAAAGGTCCCGGGTTCGATTCCGGGCAAGGGCATGTACCTTGGTTGTGGGCACATCCCTGGTGGAGGGTGTGCAAGAGCAGCTGATCGATGATTCTCTCTCATCGATGTTTTTAACTCTCTATCCCTCTCTCTTCCTCTCTGTGAAAAATCAATAAAATATATTAAAAAAATAAAAATAAATTTAAATTCATTTTCCCCCTTATTAAAAACATCTTCAATTCAACAAGTTACAACATGTATTTTGAAATATTTGGGGAACGGTCCTACCTGTCTTATTTCATTCTTAAAGAATGGAATCAAGAAACCAGTTCCTACGAAAAGTCTTCCAAGTGAGATATTAACTATGATGATGTGTCCCCCTAAGAAAAAAAAGCGTTGGGGGCTTTGCTTGAAAGGACATCATTTCATAAGTTCATTAAAAGCAACAAAGTGTGGGCGGTTAATCTGACAGCTGCCATTTTCTTGAGCATACGTTAAGACTTCACTGGATGGATGGTTGTATGACAAGAGCTATTCAGGATTAGAAGGTATAATAGTTGTGGCTTGGATGTAAGTGGATCACACGCTATTTGGGAGTCCTTCGGCAGCTAATCTGGGTCATTTCCATGGCACTGCGAGCAGACGGCGGACTTTCTTCCCAGTTACCCCACGTCCACGCCAGTTCCCAGAGGAATCGACTTTGTCCCACAGATGTTGGCTCTGATGGGGATGAGCCAGAGGGATTCTAAATATTCAGTTGGATTCATCCCCTTTCTGGATATGATTAAATCACTCCTGCCTCAAGCAGAGGACTGGCCTTCGCTTCAAAGGCAGCTAAAGAGTGAATTATTTACCAAATTGCACAAAAGGGAGGATTTATCAAGCCCCTTCTCTCCCAGAGAGGACAACCTCAGAAGCGGAGGCCTTTATTACTCATTCTTGGCTATAAATTATGCCATTCAGATGCCTGTGAAAGCTTCTCTTCATGCTGTTGCTGGAGTCATAAAACTTGATACCTGGGGCCAAATGCCTTTATTTCCTGACCCCCCCCCCCCTCCGCACACACACGCCCCGAGGGTGAAAAAGATGAAAAGGCAGCAATTCCGGCGAGTGCCACACCAAGTCAGTGACTGGGCAGAAAATGCGGGCAGTGGAGACAGTTATTCTGCATAGTCCATGCCTCCTTGACCTGATATTCCCCCAAAATGGATTTGACCATTTGCATAATAAGATCATCGGACCCTCAAAAACCTGCATTGGCCACCTGGAAACCACTTGGATGCAGTCAACATCACCCGTTTGATAGCTGTCATTACCTTTCACGCTGGGATGTTAGAGTCTGTGAATCTGAATATAAAGTGGCTACTCACCCGGAGAGGGTTTGCTGGAGCCCACTTTCCCTGGTTGCCTTGCAGTCATGGTACTTTTATGTTTCTGCTTGACGGATGTCTGGTCAATTGCCGGAAGTCTGGAATCATAGTTCATCGAAGAACTCTTGGCAGATAATCCCGGTTGGGCTTGAAGATCCTCCTCACTACTACTCTATGGAAAATGAAAGGAGTTTGAGTATCAGTAGCCTAGTATTTTTTAAAATATATATTTTATTGATTTTTTAGAGAGGAAGGGAGAAAGAGAGTTAAAAACATCGATGAGAGAGCAACATCATCAGCTGCCTCCTGCACACCCCCCACTGGGGATGTGCCCGCAACCAAGGTACATGCCCTTGACCAGAATTGAACCTGGGACCCTTCAGTCCTCAGGCTGACGCTCTATCCACTGAGCCAAACCGGTTTCGGCAGTAGCCTAGTATTTTTGCTAAGCAGAGGGAACAAGCCACCGCCATCAATAACTTGGGAGCAATCCACCATGATGCTCAATAGGCCCTTTCACCAGTGAGATTTTGATGGACTGGCTTATCAATGTAGAAATGATAGCAAAGTGATGAGTCGTACTTGCAGAACATTATAAGAAGAATGCACATCTACTGGTCTGTCTGGTAGAACATTATGAAGAGGCTGCATTTCTGGCCCTTAAGTACTGCAATTTGATGACCAGTCAACAGTTCATGTTCGAAGCTACATGAATGTCGTGCTATTTGTTGTCTGAACTACTTTGGAGGTGGGTGAGGAAAAAACATTCCTTGAGTTAATCGTACACTGGACAATGGAAAGGAAGTTTAGATACTGTGTTGGGATCGAATAAGTCAGACCTCAGTTTAATATTCTGAATTACTGGGTGTAACATAAGACAGACTGGTCTTTTTAAAAGTCCCCTGCTTGTCAGTCTGCTATAAAGAAGTCGGTATAAATCTATGCGCAGACAAACCATGATTCCTGCAATGTCAGACTGTCTTAACACAGCCTTGCAGATGCAGTAAAAGCTATGCAGCCATTCGATAGCTTGTGTACTTCGCCACACTTCCAACCACCAAAGTAATGATGGAAACAATATAAATGGCTTGTGAGAAACCTGGTCTAGAAGGGTGATTTAAGTCCTGCCTCATGGTTTAGGTGCTGGTGTTAGTATGATTTGCTAGGCCATATGCTCAGCAACAGACAAAACCACAAGGCTTCCTGCACCCCGTCAACCCCAGGAATTCCAACACTTATCACTAAATCCCCCCACGTTGTGCATTAGTCTAGTGTTGGAAAACGCAGTCTTTTGCAGACACAGAATGCTAAATTAATGTTCCCCTCACCTCCCCAGCTGTGGCAATTTGTATTGATCTTGCTCATCGGTCTCACCGACAGTTATGGCATTTTCATTTCAAGGCTCCTGACTCAGGAAAATACTCTGACTAGCTTTGAGTTATTGGGTGCAGCATAAGACAAACTAAACTCCAAAAAAATCCCCCTTCTCGTCCATCTTCTGTAAAGAAGATCAAATCTACAGGTGGACACACCGTTACCCTCCCAGACTGTAAATCATGCTTTGTAATTCAGAGTCTGGATCCAGCCTCCCAACAAATAATTATTGTTTCTCCCTACATTTTCAGCAAACAGACCACCCTCAGATAAAGGGACAGGAAAAGGCAAGGGCATAATGAATTGGTTGTTCTCCCCTTTCCTTTTTGATTCTGGAATTAAATAGAAATCTTTGAAAATTATTCTGAAATGTCAAAGATGAAACATTAGGTCATTTCTGAACATGAAATAGGCTCTCCATTCTCAGTGAAGGAAATGTGGGCAAATTTTAATTATTGATGCCTGAGGTTGTCATAGGCAAGAAGAACATCCGTGAGCGTGGAACAAAATTCCTCCCACAAACAATTCACGTTAGTGGGTGGAGAATTCTCTGCTGCACCAGGCCATGGTGAGCTGGGAGGAGTGCCTGAGAGACTTCAGTGGGTGGAGTGGTAAGCCATGTTTATCTTTCCTTCGCCTATTCACTCATTATACCTTAAGCCTTTAGTAGGACAGGTGACAGAAAGCTTGGCCAATTACGCCATGCTTGTTGCATAGGGAATTGTGCCCTTCTGTTCTGAGCACATCCATCTCTGGTTCCTGGTTCCACCAACCTAACTTCCAGTTGGTAGTTATTCAGAGTCCAGAAATTGCAGCTGGAAGTGGGTGTTTTGTCAGTTGGAGACTAAAACCAGAATGGCAAGAATATACTTAGGAACGTGCTATTGGATCTTTTCCTGCCTACTTCGTTGAGTAATCTCAAGCAAATCACTTGACCTTCTTGTGTCTTTATTAATGTCTTCTCATATACTCAGCCATTTTTATGTATCCTTTCTCATGAAAAGCTATCGTATTTTTTGGGAGGACCCTCTGGTGCGTGTGTGTGTGTGTGTGTGTGTGTGTGTGTGTGTGAATTTGTTAGTAATTCATTCTGGCACTAAAGTGTGGTATCTAAGATTCAGAGCCCAGGTTCCTGGGTGTGCATCCTGGCTCTTTCATGTTATTGACTGACACTGAGGTAGTTCCTCTCTGCATCTCAGATTTGCCCCTCTGTGACCAACAACATCTACCTGTGGTGGTTCTGTGAGGAGTAAGTGAGTTAAGGTATGCTTATAGCACTTAGAACGGTGCCAGGCAAACAGTAAGTGCCATGTGCATGTTGGCTTTTGCAGTTGGCCATTAATTCATGTTCAGCCATTTAAAAAATTAACCAGCTAATGACTGAACATTATCAATCCACAGTTGAAACCAAAACCAAAAGTCCCAATGAAGATTTCAGTAGAATTTTCACCTATGCCATAGAGATATGAACAGAGAGGTGGGTCAATTCCTATAATGGACTCTCAACTTTTTCTGAAAGCAATTGATGATAGCTAGAATTGATCTAATCTTAAGAAAATATGGCACACTTTTTTTTTTCAGACAGTGAAGCTCTAATGGCCAATATTTAACAACATGTAGATTCTCAAACAATAATAATTATTTTGATTTAAAGTTGTTTTTAAAACTATGTCTTTTCCTCTTGTAATTCTGAACAGTAATTACAATCTTCATTTCTTCCCCCATATGTTCCTACGTTAAAATGTCACATGGAGGTGGAGGCGACAGAACACTGCTATTATTTGGGGGAAGAGAACCAGTTCTCTTTCAAAATCAAAGCCATGAACACAAAAGATAAAATAAAGTGAAAACATCGCACTACTTGATGGAGGTGTTGACTTCAAGTCTCCTATTGGTAATTTGATGAGAAAGTCCTAATAAAGCCGTGTTAACGAAATAAAGTCATTGTCAAAAATCAGTCTTTTCTGGAATAGGACTCTTAACGTTTTCCAAAGACCCCCAGCTGGGCTAAGGCATCATCCGTACTGAAGCAGAGCTATTCCCTGGCCCAGGGCGAGGCCCTCTCCTGAGGTGACGGAGGACTCACACTGGGAAAAGCAGGGGCGAGGCTTACCTTAGGGCATGTTCGCAGCCTTGGGCACTGTAGTCAGGACTTAATAACATTAGAATGGTTATAGACAGACTAGAAGAAGGAGAACCAAGGTTCCTCAGGGAAGTGGGGTTGACTATTGTAGATTTTTACACTGGGACCTGAGAGGGTTGAGTCTGAAATGGCAATGTGACAATGAACAGAGAGGATCAGAAGAGCAAGGCGACTAGATGAAACCGGGGACAGCAAAGATGAAGTCATTTTCCAACTCTTGCCTGATGGCGCATTTCCAGCACCAGGAAACTGGTTCTCAACTGGCATGCCCGCCCCTCACCCCAAGATGTGCTGCTGAATTCAGCTTGATGTGTACAAAACCCATTTTTGCCACGTATCACGAGGACGGCTGAGCCGAGCAGATCTTAGAAAACAGCTCAGGGTACGGCTTGCTGTAAATAAGAGAGAAGAGGCAAGGAGTGTCAGGCTGGTGCCAGAGAAAGACTGCATGTCTATATCGCCTTTGAAATAAATGCAGTCTCGTGAGATTCTGAAAGAGAGTGATCAAGGCAGTGAACCCCAACAGGCAAACAGTGACAACATGGAAAGGGTGACGGAGGGACTGTGAATGCAAATGAGCATTTTCAGAGTACTGTGCTCAAAGTCCATATTCAAATTGTGCCTCAAACAAACCCAGTGTTTTCTGGGATGGAGTTCTGTGTGGTGGTAGTGGGCAAGGAGGTGGTATGTGACCAGAAATTGGTTGGATTTTAAAAATTTGAACAGTTTAGTGTAGTGTTTAGAAGCACATTGAGACTGCTCTCAGGTGGGTATGGTCTACAATGTGTTTCTCCTTCTTCCTTTAACTCAATTCATATTCTCCTTTTAGCTGGGAGGAGCATCAGAGGAATTCAAAAGACTTGATCCATCAAAAGGATCTCGTCCATGAAAATACCTTCTACTCAAAATAATACGTCATAAAACATGGGAATTAATTGATAAGTATATGCCCCTGCTATGTCTTCAACCTCATGCTAGGCACTATGAAGGGACATAAAAACAAGACACTTACAATGTGAGAGACAAGATTAATACCATACCAGCAAAACGCAAAAATATTTGATTAAGTGATAAATAGCGCGGCACCAATTCTGAATTTCAAAGGAACTCAGAGAAAAAGTGGAAATCAAGGGAAGCTTCAAAGGAGGTGGTGTTTTCTGGGACCTGAAGGATGCGTAGAAACTGTCTTAGGCCCCAGCTAGTTTGACTCAGTGGACAGAGCGTTGGCGCGTGGACGGAAGGATCCCAGGTTTAATTTGGATCAAGGGCACGTGCTGGGGTTGCAAGCTTGATCTCCAGTAGAGGGCGTGCAGGAGGCAGCGGATCAATGACTCTCATCGTTGATGTTTCTATTTCTCTCTCCCTCTTCCTTCCTCTCTGAAATATATATATTTATTTATTTATTTTTTTAAAAAACTGTCTTAGGCTGGAGGCCGCACATGAGCCAAGGTATGATGGTGCATGAGGTATGGCATAATCCTCAGAGAGTGAGGGACGTGTCCAGAGCATAGGCTTGGGGAGGAGAGGTGAGAAATAAAGCTGGATGGTAAGGTGGGGGTCAAATGCTGGGGGGCTCTGAGATTTAAGGCTTGAGACTCAATGAGATAGAGAATGGGTTTCTGAATAGAAAAATGTGTAAGGTGGCATTTACAATG